AAAAGTACAAAAGTACAGACATCATTAAAAATTAAATTATTATTAAATTATTGATATATATATATATCATAAACATTGATTGTGTTTGGCTTTTAATCAGTTAAAAATAATTTGCTTTGAACGTTACGAAAAAATCATGTCGGATTTTTAGCTGTCATAAGCGCAGGCTTTTCGAAAAGCTCAAGATTTTAATATCATATGGAATAAAAAGCCACAGATTTTTGCGAAGAAGAGCGAAATCGAAAATCATGATATTACATTATCCTAGATAAATAAATCCAACATAAAAAATAGGATCACGCTATTCAAGATTTACTTTGCTTGTGCGATCGCACAGCAAGAAAAGATAGTGAGCTTCATCAGTCTTCGATATAAGAGTTTAAGGTTGCAGATATTTTGGAGATAATATAGAAAATATGTTCGCTATAGAATCGATGAGAACTGTCACAGCAAATCAATTCACTACCGTTTCCGTTATGCGTATATACATATATTTTTTATCATAGATCTCCAACCTATCGTCCAATACTCGAATTTATAGAACATGATATCCTTTTATGTAAAATTTTTTACATCAATTGTTGTAGTTTACAAAAAGCTTTTTATTTTTTATTGCAGTTAAATCGAAAACTCTTGTTGACGCTTTGAAAATTTGTTTTAAAGAGGAAGTCTCGAGATGAGGCTCGACTGGCATTTGATTGATAAGAATTAATAGAAATGATAAGAATTGATTGTCCTCGAATTTTTGTTTTTATTGTGAATTGTTAAAACACCAGTTCAGAGTAACTATAACCGCTCAATCTTTTATAGAGTAGATAAGACCTTTAGCTTAGTTCACATGTCTACTGCTGCGGATTCCGCAGAATTAAATTACAAGACGATGTAATAAAACTCACCCTCCTCGCGTATATATTCTTGTTTGCCCGTCGTCGAAGCAATATAACAGGAAACAAATCAACTTCCCATCGATTATCTTCTTTAGAGATTATTCAAAAAGATATCGATCAGCGACGAGCTAGTTTTTGATTCACAAAGTAAGTTTAATGCATTACAGCTGTTTGAACATCAATTATAATCGACGATAAAAGTGATTATTATCAATCTGCATCAAGCTTGAAAAGTCTGTCTATTATATTTTGACAGTTGTTAATAAATGGTATGTAATTATGTAAAAAGCAACTCAGCAAACAAGTTGTTGTTTATTGTTATTTTGACATTATAGATGTTTGGCGTCAAAATGATGATAAATAACGTCAGCTTGTCGGAGAGGTTTTATAACAAAATGTTAAAAAAATTAAAGCAGAAGTTTTCATTTCACTTTCGGCTTCCGGGCACTTTATCATTCATTTCAAGCCACTTCTAAGGTGCTGATGAACGACGGGTATTTTTTTCAATTTTCGCTTTAAGCGGCACAACTGCCGTGGAAACGGATCCTCCGACCACTATTGTTGACCAGCGTGATAAACTGACCTCGCATACGTCTTCTTTTGTTTCAGAAATACCTCGCGCGCTGTTACGTAACCATTTATTTTTAGTTGGCCACCACTTTTCTGCATTGTATGCAATCCGATCTCTCTCAATATAAAGAAATGATCAAAGCGGAAGTGTTTTCTACCACGTTGTCAAAGATACACTTTACACAATTGCAGTTCTTTAATCGAAGTCTTCGCGAAACGATTTAATTCTGCAATGCATCATTCTTTTTTCTTTATTTGCATAATAAATTAGAATAACCTTTGCAATGGTATGCAGATATGAGATAGAAAAGTCCTCTTTTTTTATATACGAAAAGAATGACTTTGCTGAAGCATCTAAAACTTTAGCTGGATACATCAGATCAAAAGTAATTTTATTGGACCATCAAAATGTTATGTAGGTAATTCAAGAACAATGCTGCAAAAGTTTTGACAAATTCAAAAATTACAAAAATTAGAGAATTATTCAAGCCATCTTAGATGTAGTGTACAAATTATTATAAACAATAAATTAGTCAATAAATTATTTAATTAAATCATGACATTCAGCATGGTTTAAATAGCCCTTTAATTTTTATAATTTTTTATTTATATTCTTGAGAGCTTTATAATTTATTTGATGAATTTTAGTCTTGCAAATTATTTTGATGATCTAATAAAATTATTTTTTCATCTGTATTTAATTAAATTTTTAGATACTTCAGCAAGATGTTTTTTCCATATATAGAATTTTATTCTGGCTGAACAGCGTGAAAATCAAGAAAGTTTTCATTCAGGAATAAATTTTTTTATTTCGTTTTTAGTCAAGCTGCACATCTTCGTTTCTTTCTTTGGAGCAAGAATTCATGGATGAATGGACGTTGCTTAATCGACCATGGGAAACACACGTTTTGAATTCAGCCGCAGGTCTGATTCCGTGTAGATAACGAGGGTGAGTTTTATGAGATCGTACGGCCGTCGTGATTCAATTTAGCGACAGTATCATGAACTCGTGCCGACTTGGAAAGATATTCTACGATATTACGAGATTACCAAGATAAAAACGAGCTCTTTTTGTGGCAAAACGAAACTTCGCCTTTCTTGTTACCCGCCGGCCATTTTTCTTTACGAATGGACCGACCAACCGTTCCACCCTCGCACAAATTTTCGCTAAGATTTTATTACGTTACTGGATCATCCATTTAAAGGACTATAAGATATCCGCCGCCGTCCACCGTCGATCATATGATGTCCAAAAGTTAGAACAATTCTTTGTGACTTATGGCCGCGGGAAAAAAAAGAAAAGTATATCTGCACCTGTGAGAAATAAAAGCATTTAAATTCAAAATTATTGATGTACAATTTGCAATCAGAAAAACATTTACTGTTATTTTATTATATTCTGCTTTGTCAAGGTCAATTAATATGATAAATATAAAGTATATGTGTATAATACAAACAAACATTCTTCTCCTGCTTTTCTTCTTGGCTGTATGATCGACAAGAGAGTTTACTTTTTATTCCATTGTAAACAAAATCCTTGGAAGTCTGAAAGAAACCAACATTGTTATTATTTCGCAGAATACAGTCTTCGCTCGTACTTACGATTGAAGATACCATATGGAAAGCTAAAGTCGGATTAAAGAGAAAGATATTGGCTTTATTATCTTTTTTATTTGATTTTTCCATTTCTCTCTTTTTTTTTTCATGTTGCGACTTCGGTTTGGGCTCAGGCCGGAGGCTACCGCAGGAGTTTTACCGCTTTTATCGAGAGAAACTTCCTTCCATAACATTATCAGTAAAGTGCTGATCTGTTCATTCTTAGTGCCACATTAAGGTGATATTATAACGAAAATGGAGCGCAAACGCAATTTTCCTTTCGCGGTTTTTCAACGTGATATAAATTTTTTTGCTGATGTTCATAGAGTCATCGAACCCATTTTGGCACTCGGCCATTTGCGAAAGAATTCACGGGAGCCGTGCGGATTTTTAAGAGGAATTTTCAAGCGTTGTAAAAAATGTATGGTTACTAGAATGTAACATTTAAATTTAAAGCAAGTATTCTCAAACATTTTAAATAATGTACTTAGAGGAGGCTAAAATATTGTAATCGATATTAAACAAAGGATTTCTTAGGATCGTCAATGTGAATACACAACTAATAAGGAATAAAAACCTTTAACTTCGTCAAATTGGATCTTAAGTATTTGAATGATTCAATGTAAATTTATGTACTATAAATATCGTAATATTTTTTGGAGGATATGAATTTGAGCAGAATTTTTAAAAATTTAATGAAAAAGTGGTGATAAATTAAAGCAAGAAAATTGTCAAAGCAATTTAATGTCTCTGCAATGCAGAATTCAATATATGCAGAATGCAATATACAAAATAAAATGCAATAATTCATAACTTTTGAAATATTAATATTTTTACGTTAAAGAAATAACATACTTTATTTTCAGTAAACTTTAACAACAGCAAATATCGAATTTACTTGTTGCTTGTGCTTTACATAAAATTAAAACTAATTTTAACTTTGCGTAATTTCTCTTTTAACATTAATTGCTAGGCTGTTCAAATGTAAATCAAGACAGAAATTTACTGAATTAAAACACGCTCGTTTCGTAACTTTAATAACTCTTAACAGCGACACAAATGATTAAAGCAGCTCCACCGAGATACGTGGCAAACACGCATTCGCTCTTTCATGTATTACAGCATCTCTCGTTGTGACATACATTTAATTCGCACGACACACAGGTGCGAAGAGGTCCCATCGTGATGTAACTTTTAGCAACCTTGTATCAACACGCGGTCTACAAACTTAACTTATTAACGGGGGCGCGTTACACGCAATTTCGTCCGGCATTGTATAATCATGCCGTCGCGCTGATTTCAAATATTTGATTAAACTACGTCCGGATACGCAATGCGTTACGTACACGTTATTGGTGAGAATTGTTTCTCGCTGGATTGCATAAACGACGTTATATACGAACGGCTCGAATCACGAAACCTCGTCGCTAGCAATTCGCCGGCAATTCCCGGAGAACCGGTGCAAACATTTGTGCTGAGGGTTGTTTAACAGTCTCCGCAACACACGAAAACGATGCCTCCAAACCAATCCAGTCTTTGCTGGCTTCGAAGTTCAACGTCACCTAATCGGACATCGAGGAATCTCACGTGTCACGTCGCAAATATACTCTAGAAAATGATGAAGTCGATTGTTACTCTCCTGCTATTCTGTCAATTGCTCAACATCGGAAAATGTCTGCAAGTGAACGGCACTCACAATGAAAATTCAGAGACAGCGCAGCAATTCAGGTTGCGAAGGAGTCTTACGTTTCCCAATTCGTCTCAGCTTTTGGTATGTAATTAATTAATAAACGAAATTGCATCACTTATTGAATTTGATGCTCATCGTTGATTGCTCAATGAGAGAAAATTATATAATTTTATAATCATGCATAGATTTTATTATTAAGGAAAAAGAAAATAATTAAATAATATTATATAATATATTTATAATGTTACCATTAATTTATATTCTACAGCGGTTCAGAGCGACAGATCGGCGCAATTTCCGCTACTTTGATAATTAAAACTACTGTCGGGATCGTGCGTGTCAGAAAATGAATGTACGGCCGTTTTCGTGCGCGTCATTCTTCCTCGCGTTCAATTTTCCGGACAGCGTGTTTTCCATAAATACCATTACGACGATGTCCCCTATACATACATTTCTGACCTTCGAACAGAGAAAACGAATTGCTCGAAGAAAATCGTGACGGCTTTAGTTTCGGTGTTTTTTTTCGACGACACGGGTAATTATTCGCCTCACACGCGTTGACATCTAGGAGAATTATTTGATGACCGTATTCCGATATTCCAATATAAACAACCCGTCGATCTTTCGTGGTTCATTCAATTTATGACAGCTGGCATCCGGCTAGAGACGAAAAGGTTTACGCGGACATGAGATCGCACATCTGTATAGGATGTTGCCGATATAACGGCTCTCTCGCGGATGTAACACATGCTGGTATCGCGTATGAATTTCGATAAAATCGCGAGAATTTCCACGGAAGATCATATCTCGGCACGACAGCGCGTCTGGAAAGGACAGTTTAACGAGATTCAGCTCGGCTTCATATTGTGATTTTTTTTTTTATATATTCGTGTCGTCGAAGTCGTCGGCGAATGAAATCGATACATTTCACCGATGATAGACTACTGGTTAGTCTGGCGATGTAGAAGCGAATGCGGGGAGACATTCATTACTCGCTAATTGAAGATACGATTGGACCGACAACTTAAGTTGGAAAATAGAATTCGGAGAATATTACAGTGCCAGTTTCAATGTGGTAAGCGAGTATTTTCCTGCGCATTGAAAGCACGTGCGAATAGCGCCAGGATTTTTGTCCAGCGTTAACACATTTTTACCGAAGCGTGGAACACATTTATTTAATAAATGTGCCAGATGAAAACTTGTTAAACTTTTTATTTTCATTTCTGCAGTAATAAAGTTTTATAAAAAATTTTGAATTAAATTTACATTAATTTTACGAATTTTTCAAATAAGTTATAAATTAGGCTCAGAATCTTGTAAAATATTTCATAAAATTTGAGAAAATATTTACAC